TGCAGGTTTTCAAACAGAGATGGCGATAAAGAGGCAAAACTTACAGACTGCAGCTTTAAATTATAGAAGACTTCAAAATTTAATTTTTTACCTAAAGACCTGCATACATGCTGATGAGATGACTGTCCTGCATGTGTCATAAATCTTTATTCAACAATTTATTCTCTTCTGTGCCAGTCGACGTGCGTTCACAAGAGTACCACGATGTATGCGTGAATCCGGATGCGCTGTGCCTTGTTTTCAAGTAGAGGAATGCATATGCCTGTGTCGTGGTACACTCGTGAACGCGCGTCGAAGACTGACACGGAAGAGAAGAAATTGTTGAATTAAGTTGCTATTTTTGTTTTCTTTGCGCACAAAAAGTATTCTCTTAATTTCATAACATTACGGTTGAACCACTGATGTCACATGGACTATTATATCGATGTCCTTGCTACCTTTCTGGGCCTTGAACTTGTCAGTTGCGTTACTGTGTATGCAGGGTCAGAAAGTTCTCAGATTTCATCAAAAATATCTTAATTGGTGTTCCGAAGATGCGCGAATGTCTTTTGGGTAAGGAACGACATGAGTGTGAGTAATTAATGACAGAGTTTTCATTTTTTGGTGAACTGTCCCTTTAATATCACACATTGAGGTTTTCTGTTACTGTTTTTACTGTAGCCTATTTTTGATCAAATAAATGCAGTCTTGCTAAGCATTATTTCAAAAATATAAAAAAATCGTACCCATTCCAAACCTCTGAATGGTAATGTTTGTGTACATTTTATTATCAATACAGTATCTTAAATGAAAAAAAAAGGTATTAGGATCTGCATAAATGGTGTCCTGAACATTGTCTATTAATTGCACATAATTTCATGCTCTCATTTTGACTTTGTCAGGTTCAAGGTTCACGGTATTACAGCAAACACACTATTGCAAAGTTCTGTCACCTTCCTCCTGAAGATCCTCTGGTTACCTCCCCTCCTCCACCCGAGCCTCCACCTCCTCCACCATACGGCCGCGGGCCCGCCTCCTATCGAAATCGTCGTTACCACCGGAACTCATCGCGTTCGCAGACCCAGACCCTTCCGTCTCCAGTCACACACACCTCCAGGACGTCTCCACCTACACTGTGTGATCAAGATGGTCACATGGAGAGGCTCCAGAGGGATGTGGAGCTCTTACGGGCGAGATGGACAAGCCACCGCACACAGTCCCTCTTTTCTCTGCCTACAGACGAGTCCCGCTCCTCGTGTGCCTCTCCGTCAAGCTTCCGTCCTCGCTGCTTCTCTTCCATGGCTGCTCCCATTTTCCGTGTCAATGTGGATACGCTAGTGGGAGCCGAAGAGACGGATGTAGACACAGGAAAAACCATCAGCGGCAGCTCTGTGGACCTGTCGGTGGTCTCAGGTTATTCCCATCCACAGCTGAGGCCCCATTTAAAGGCCCCAGCACCACGGCCCAAGTCTGCTCCTCCAACAGATGGAGGTCTTGACTTTGCTGATCTGACCTATAATAATACCTCCCAAATAAGACAGACTCCTGTGTCATCTAGAACACAGAGCATCATTGCAAAATCCACACCTTGGGTAGTACACAAACCACAGCCAAAGAATGTGAAAGATGTGTTGCAAGACAAAGGACAGCAGAACGGCAATGGCGTTTTGACAGTAAATGACTGTAGTCAAGAAGGCACTGTGGAGGAAGAGCAAGAATTTTATATCTGACACATGCAGTACAATCATCTCATCAGCAGGTCTCCAGGAGTTTGGGTAAAAAAAAAAAATTTAGGTCTTCTATAATTGTAAGCACTAAGCAGCTAAGTATTTAAATGTGGAAAACCCTTAAACCTATTGTTCCCAAAAATGTAAATTCTTTCATCATTTACTCACTCTCATGTCGTTCTAAACTTATAAGACTCACCTGAAACACAAATTAAGATATTTTAATGAAACCTAAGATGGTTCTGTCCCTTCATTGAAAGTCCAGGTAACCAAAACTTCAGGTCATAAAGGCGTTGACAAATGAATCAAGCAGTTTAATCAATAATTGTGGTTTAATAAGTCTTGTGAAGAGATATGATCACTTTATATGATGAGCAGAATTAATTAGGCATTTATTTACATATAAACACATATGGTAATCACTTAAGCTCAAATATGTACACACACATGCACATTGACTTTTAATGGAAAGGCAAAAACATAGGTTTACTTAAAAATATCAAAATTTGTGTTCTGAAATCTTACGGGTTTGGAACAATATGAGGGTGAGTAAAGGTTGACAGAATTTTTTGTTTTTGAGTGAACTATGTTTATGCTTTTTTCTATAGTACATTTGTTTTATTAGCAACAGGCCATGCTTAAGAATGTGCATTCATAATGAATGACTTTAAGACTAAATCAAATTGACGTGTATTTGTTGTTTGTTGTGGTATTCTGTAGTTTCATAATAGTTGTAATAACAAAAGAGCGTCATTGCTTATGTCAGAAAGCTCAACGAAGAATAAAACTATGCCACCTACTGGTTGAACATGGTAAATATACAAGTGCTAGACCAGGGCTGTCCAAACTCGGTCCTGGAGGGCCGGTGTCCTGCAGAGTTTAGCTCCAACTTGCCTCAACACACCTGACTGGAAGTTTCTATGCCTAGTAAGAGCTTGATTAGCTGGTTCCGGTGTGTTTTATTAGGATTGTAGCTAAACTCTGCAGGACACCAGCCCTCCAGGACCGAGTTTGGACAGCCCTGTGCTAGACACTTGTCATGCCACAAGAAGTCACTATTAGAGAAAATATTGAAAACTGTACAATTTGTACAGTTTCACCATTTGTTCTGTATAAGAGTTTAAGAAAATAGTTTGTTTCTTGACATAAATGTAATACTTTACATTATTGCATATTTTAAATTATATGTAAATATTTTGTTTTAAATAGTTGTCAGTGACAGATGTCATATCAATGATTATATGGATAGATAAGAAAATAATCAAGGAACTCATTAATGTCTGCGTTTACAAATATAAAATTATTTTATTTTTATTCAATTCATGGTGTGAATTACTTGCTGTTGATGATGTAATAAAACAAAAAAAGGATAATGGTTATAATAGGGGTTAGCAGCTGTTTCTTTGAGGGAAAAAATGAATAAATAATGAATTGTGGAAAGTCAAAAACTTTTACAACATTTGGTCACTGGGTCCTGTTATAAATCGTTTCGAAATTCTTTATCCAAATGCAGTGCATCTTATGCATAATGTTGCCAATATGTTCATGTTTTCAAACACAGGAGACAAGTCTTACACTTCATTGTAAAGTAAGATGCAGGCTTGTTAATCAAACTATTCAAGCTATCAGTTACCTAAATCTTACAATTATTTTCAAAACTTGGTTGAATGAAGGGTCAAAGGTCAAAGATGTTCATGTTTCATTACATTCACGTAACCTGTTGATGCTTGCACACACACACATATGTACACACACAAGACAAGCACGCCCGGCTTTCCCCCTTGTGAGTTGCCCCTCTCTCAGTGCCAGAACACTCCCAACCCATTCCCAACTAATCCCATGAGCGTACCTGGCACATCGCTGGCGATACCGGCTCTCAGTGCTACTGCGCTCCGGCACTGGACTGGGATTCTGTTAATCTGGTCCAGCAGCCATAGAGCTACAGAAATAAGGCAGGAGGGGTGAATGACAGCGAGCTCTATAGTTCCCTGCTAGAATATAAATCAGTTCTAATGAAGTCCCTTCCTGTGAAGCAGCTGTAGATTAAACATGCTGGGTTACAATGCCAGAATTTCAACAATAATAATAAGTAGTAGTATGAGGGTGAGTAAAGGTTGACAGAATTTTTTGTTTTTGAGTGAACTATGTTTATGCTTTTTTCTATAGTACATTTGTTTTATTAGCAACAGGTCATGCTTAAGAATGTGCATTCATAATGAATGACTTTAAGACTAAATCAAATTGACGTGTATTTGTTGTTTGTTGTGGTATTCTGTAGTTTCATAATAGTTGTAATAACAAAAGACATTGCTTATGTCAGAAAGCTCAACGAAGAATAAAACTATGCCACCTACTGGTTGAACATGGTAAATATACAAGTGCTAGACCAGGGCTGTCCAAACTCGGTCCTGGAGGGCCGGTGTCCTGCAGAGTTTAGCTCCAACTTGCCTCAACACACCTGCTGGAAGTTTCTATGCCTAGTAAGAGCTTGATTAGCTGGTTCCGGTGTGTTTAATTAGGGTTGTAGCTAAACTCTGCAGGGCACCGGCCCTCCAGGACCGAGTTTGGACAGCCCTGTGCTAGACACTTGTCATGCCACAAGAAGTCACTATTAGAGAAAATATTGAAAACTGTACAATTTGTACAGTTTCACCATTTGTTCTGTATAAGAGTTTAAGAAAATAGTTTGTTTCTTGACATAAATGTAATGCTTTACATTATTGCATATTTTAAATTATATGTAAATATTTTGTTTTAAATAGTTGTCAGTGACAGATGTCATATCAATGATTATATGGATAGATAAGAAAATAATCAAGGAACTCATTAATGTCTGCGTTTACAAATATAAAATTCTTTTATTTTTATTAAATTCATGGTGTGAATTACTTGCTGTTGATGATGTAATAAAACAAAAAAAGGATAATGGTTATAATAGGGGTTAGCAGCTGTTTCTTTGAGGAAAAAAATGAATAAATAATGAATTGTGGAAAGTCAAAAACTTTTACAACATTTGGTCACTGGGTCCTGTTATAAATCGTTTCGAAATTCTTTATCCAAATGCAGTGCATCTTATGCATAATGTTGCCAATATGTTCATGTTTTCAAACACAGGAGACAAGTCTTACACTTCATTGTAAAGTAAGATGCAGGCTTGTTAATCAAACTATTCAAGCTATCAGTTACCTAAATCTTACAATTATTTTCAAAACTTGGTTGAATGAAGGGTCAAAGGTCAAAGATGTTCATGTTTCATTACATTCACGTAACCTGTTGATGCTTGCACACACACACATATGTACACACACAAGACAAGCACGCCCGGCTTTCCCCCTTGTGAGTTGCCCCTCTCTCAGTGCCAGAACACTCCCAACCCATTCCCAACTAATCCCATGAGCGTACCTGGCACATCGCTGGCGATACCGGCTCTCAGTGCTACTGCGCTCCGGCACTGGACTGGGATTCTGTTAATCTGGTCCTGCAGCCATAGAGCTACAGGAATAAAGCAGGAGGGGTGAACGACAGCGAGCTCTATAGTTCCCTGCTAGAATATAAATCAGTTCTAATGAAGTCACTTCCTGTGAAGCAGCTGTAGATTAAACATGCTGGGTTACAATGCCAGAATTTCAACAATAATAATAAGTAGTAGTAGTATTGTTGTTATAAATATTAATACATGTGTATATTAATACAATTATTACAAAATATATACTATATAATATATGCAAAATGTTACTAGTTGTAATTATAACATTATTATAGGGTAAGCAATATTACGGTAACACTTTATTTTAAGGACCAATTCTCATTTAACTAGCATATTGGTTGTTTATTAGTACTTATAAAGCACATATTAATGTTTTATTCTGCATGACCATATTTTAGATCCTTTAATCCAACCCCCTAACAACTACCTTACTGGCTATTACGCAGCAAATTAAGAGTTTATTGAGGCAAAAGTCATAGTTAATAGTGAGAATTGGTCTCTAAACTAAAGTGACCAATATTACTTATATTGCTGAATAATAGTTATTTGTATTAGTACTCACCCTGTATAATAATTATAATTACCGCTATAAATGTAATATAATATTAATAATAATAATATTACCACCATCATCATCATCATGACACAGATATATTAAATAGCAATCCACTACATACTCAATTGTCAGAATGTAATTCTGAACCTGCGGTAGTATGTCCAGGCAGTGAATGTCACACACCTTGGTAGGCTACTTCCACTTAGAACTGTCCAATTTGTAACTAAAGGGGACCAAAGCGTGTCCAAATGTTTTAGACATTTAAAAAATATATATATATTTGAATGTTTTAGTGCATCAACATTTGACCCATTAAAAAACCTTCTGTATTCAAAGTATGTTTACACCAACTTTTAAATATCTGACCTCAAGATGAAAGAGGAGCTGTTTACTTTGGCCGGCATTCCTTTGGGTTCATTGTCCTTGCTCAAGTGACCGTGACTTTCCCATCAGCATTTCCCATCTTAAAAATTCAAATGCCATGGTTGGAATACTGGAATTAAAGAATCTGTCTTCTCCACTGACTGCTGCCAAGTTGGTTCTACTAATTAACATGCCGTCTGATGGGCACCATCCAAATACCTGATGCTTACTGATCATTTCCCGCTTGCAGTTTACCATGGGAAAAATGTCTCTTCAATCCATTAGGGTCATTTATGGACACTCCAATTACGGTGGAGATCTGACTTTGACAATGTGATAATTTTCAAAGTTTTTAAATTCCTTGTTTTATTGTTGTGATTATTGTTTTTATTTTATTTTATGTAAAGCACTTTGAATTACCATTGTGTATGAAATGTGCTATACAAATAAACTTGCCTTGCCTTGCCTAGTGATGTCTTGGTAATTTTGTAGTCTGAAACAACCCAAAAATATATAGAAATATTTGAAAATAGCAAAATAGTTGTTTAAAAATAGCTAAATGGAAATAGCTGGTTAGACATTTGATTAAGCACATGCAGATGTTAACAGTTTGGTAAAGTTCACACCTTGGGGTTGATTACACGGGAATATTAAATGTTAAATGGCATCTCATGCAGAAATGCTGATGCAGCATGTTGCTCTGTGTTATAGCTGGGATGGCATACTCTATCAAAAGAACAAGTTGCTTGTGTAATGACTTCCTCTCTCTATTATGTGTGTGTGTGTGTGTGTGTGTGTGTGTGTGTGTGTGTGTGTGTGAGGCTGAACTTCTCGAGTGCGGATTTGCTGGTCGAGCGCATGCCTCCCTCTGCCTGGCTCCTTATAGTGCCGGGCGGGAGGCAGGAATTCTGACCGAGTGGTACGGACATCGCCGCCGGAGACCACAAACACGAAGCTCTCCCTTTAAACAAGGTCTCATGATCTCATGATCGACAACTCTTTCAATCAGTTGTCCTTGCGTGGAGGATCAGGGCGAACGCACTTAAAGCAAAGCGCGTGAGTGACAGTGACAGTGACAGTGATAGTGGAGCTGAACATCAGGAGCAGCGGACACTCAAGGAATCCAGAGGACGAGCCTGCAGGTCAGAAGTTCTGAAAGATTTGAATTCAATCATAGCCTACATTTCAATTATATCTTTTTTTATTATACTTTATATTTTAATTAAAGGCCTATATTTTGTTCGATGTCAATATAAATCTATATAAATATGTAGTAAGGATTTCTGTTCAGAAGTTTAATTTCATTATTTCTGTATTGTGATGTACACTGTGTAAATCATTGCAGTGTTTCAATTTGCATTAATATTGGATATATGGATGCTGAGGCATAGTTCACCCAAAAATGAAAATTCTGTCATCATTATTTCAAATTTGACATCTGATAAACATAAAAGAAGATATTTTGATAAATGTCTCAATCATTTTTTTTAATCCACACAATGGAAATCAATGGTCACAAAACCTATGCGGTTACAACATGCTTCAAAATATCTTGTTTTGTGTTGCACGGAAGAAAGAAAGTCATACAGGTTTGGAATGACATGAGGGTGAGTAAATTATGACAGAATTAACATTTTTTGGTAAATGATACTTTAATTTTTACATTCATTCAGAATTGAGGCTACGCATCAGTGCAATTAAGATGCTAATCTTAAAAATGAATAAAACCTATTATAAAGATTAACCAACTTTAACCTTGCTTGCAAAAGTTGAACTGCTGAAACGTGGGTGATAGTAGTATTATTTTGTACTGAATCAAGGGTTACATCAACCAAAGTAATTTATTAAGTTTAGATCAAGTGGAAATGATCCCTTGCCTTCTCTTTAACATATATATATAGAAAGAGAGAGAGAGAGATTTCAACTTTGTCTAGTGTAAGTGAATGCATGATTCATTTTTGAGCTGTTCTGGAAAACGCTTTCCTAATCATTTTGTGTTTGCAGATTTTGACCTGTTGATCATGCATCAGCTGTCTGTGACTTCCCTGATCCTCTGTCTGTGGCTGCTGGAGCGCTGTCATGGCAACAGTAGCTTGGGCAACAGCCTCAATGATCTACACACACAGTTTGGCGTCAGTCTCTACCAAACACTCACAGAGACAGAAAACAACTCCAACCTGATCGTGTCTCCAGCCAGTGTCTCGTTGTGTCTGGGTCTTCTGCAGCTGGGTGCCAGGGGAAACACTCTAGCACAACTTGAGGGAACTCTGGGATACGACGTGAATGGTAAGAGGAAACTAGTGACACACCTGCATGTTGTTGTCTTAAATAGTTCAAAATATACATCAGCCATGTCTGACAACCTGCCTACCTGCCACTGTCCAATGCTTGAAAAGTTAACATTACAGTTATGATGATACAAATCATGGTCTCCCCGCAGATGCTCGAGTGCAGGACATTCTGTCTCGGCCACAAGGAGACCTGGGTAATTCCAGTGAGGGGGTGCGGCTTCAGCTTGCCAATGCCTTATTTGTCCAGAGTGGTGTGAAACTCCTGCCAGAATTTACCCAGCATGCCTTGGGATGGGGTAACAGTAGTCTACTGAGTGTAAACTTCAGTAATCCAAACCACACTCATAGTCGGCTACAGCAATGGGCACGTTCCCAGAGTAAAGGTGAGCTTGTATTGACTAATAGTAAATGCAGTTTCCCTAAAACCACTAGATATTCATAATTTATATTTAGATTGTCAACAATGTCATTTTAAAGTGATGGATATGGCCTACAAAAATACACATAAATATACATAGACATACATTTTTATAACGTTAATTATGTAAATATTGTACATATAATGTAAAATGAAATACTGATTTTAATTTACATATGATTATGACTTTAAAATGTAATTATGTAAAATTAAATGTTGGTTTGAATTTAAATATAAGGATACATTTAAAATATATTTTTGTATATATATACTATGTAAAAAATTAAATATTGATTAAAATGTAAATATATGACTTTTAAATTTAATTTTATAAATATATGATTATAAATTAAATATTGATTTGAATCGAAATATAATTTTGACTTTAAAATACAATTATGTACATGTATTTTATGTCAAATTAGATATTGATTTAAATTGAAATATAATTATGTAAATATATGTCAAATTAAACATTGATTTGAATCATGAATTTAAAATATAGCTTCGTAAATTTATATTATGATAATAATAAGTAAATATTGATTAGAATTTAAATATAATTGACTTAAATATAATTATGTAAATATATGATGTCAAATTAAATATTGTTTTGAACTGAAATATAGTTATGACTGTCAAATATGTAAATATATATATGATTCCAAACTAATATTGATTTTTGACAAAAAAGAAAGAAAATCAAAGTTATAAATGAAATAAAGATTATTGAAGTATTTTTACAAGAAAATACTGTTCCATTCTTCCTAATCCAAATGTTATGTTTAACTGAATGTGTCACTTGCAATTTTTTGTAATTATTTGTGATTTTTTTACACAGCAGTTTCAGAGTCGTTTCTACACCAAATATTGGTGCATTTCAATTGTTTTATTATGATAAGACAGATGAAACTAGTATAGTTACAAGTTATGTAGAATATATTGCCTGGAAAGATGGTTGTATAAATTATTAAGTGTACAATTAAGTGTATGATTTATTTCTAAAGCTGATGACCATCTCCAGACAAGAGAGGAGCAGCTTCAGTCCAGTGAGGCCCAGGAAGAGGCCTCCAGGCAAGACAGTTTACTGCATATGGCTCTTCTGAGCACAGTGGTGTTTCAAGGTGCCTGGCAGAAACAATTCCTCTTCACTGACACTCAGAACTTGCCCTTCAGCCTCTCAGATGGCAGAACAGTCAAAGTCCCGATGATGTACCAGTCAACCGAAGTCAATATTGGTAAGGGGAGGAACAAGACAGATACCAGTTAGATGGAAGCCTAGATCGTTCTGCTAAGAGCGTATATATTTACCTGTCCACCTGTCTTAGGGCATTTCCGCCTGCCTTCAGAGCAGGAGTACACGGTGCTGGAGCTTCCGTACCTGGATCGCTCACTCAGGCTACTGGTGGCCTTACCTAGTGACCGGAAAACCCCTCTGTCCCAGCTGGAAAAGCAGCTCACGGCCCGTGCTGTGGGACTGTGGGATACTGGATTAAGACGCACTAAGATGGATATATTTCTGCCCAGGTAACAGCATGAAAAATATAAATTACTTGTGAACTATTATTATATGCAAATGAGATTTAAAACGAATAGTATTTATATCCCTGTCTTGTGTGTATTTTAGGTTTAAGATGCAGAGCAGGTTCAATCTGAAGCCTGTTTTACAGTCTCTCGGTATCTCTGATGTCTTCAGTCCCTCAGCTGCTGATTTTAGAGGCATCTCAGGTAGGAAAGTTAAACCCAAAACAGTTTATACCAGTCACAGATGCTGAGAAATAATCACACATACCATCAGTTTAAATAAATGATTCACTCTGTGAAGATTAAGTCTTCTGTTTAATATGTCTACAGATGGGGAAGGGCTTTTTGTATCAGAGGCTTTCCATGAGGCAAGAATAGAAGTGACAGAGCAAGGGACAAAAGCAGCTTCAGCTACAGGTATGTCATATTTTGCTTGCTGAAAGAAATTAGTGTGGAAGCTGAAAATAAGAGAAATGTTTAGGAACACCTATAAATATCAAGCACTGTCTGTTTAATGTTAATGAAGACTGATCTAATTCTACATATGCTAACTTTTAAAGCCCTGTTCACACCAAAGACGATAATAGACGACCATAACAACGATACGGGTATAGTTTAAAATAAATAGTTTTTCTAAATGTATAACTACACTACAACTATTATGATAATGACAGAGGAACAATATGGTTGAAATCATTTTCAAAAAAAAAAATTTCCCATCTGATGAAAGACAAAAACATAGACAACCAATCAGAATCTATCCTGCTTTAAAGAGCTTATGCATTTAAAGCACCAGACAAAAAAACTGCAGCGCATGTTTATAATAAACACAACATTAGCATCCATTAGTGAGGACACATTATAGTTTTCGCTCTTGGTGTGAACAGGCCTCAAGTCCTTGTTAACCTTTCACAAATTAAATAAAGATACCTTATTTAGGGGTCTTATGTGGTGAAGATGACAGAAGCACACCTGAATATTACAAAATATTAGCCCTGATTTTTTATTATTACTATTTTTTCCCATGATGTAATGTTTTATACACTCTGCAAGGCTCATCCCTGGTGTGTGTGTGTGTGTGTGTGTGTGTGTGTACCTGGATGAGAATCAGTTCTAGTCAACAGATAGTTGAACAGTTTGTTCAAGCTGTGAATCGGCCGGGAAATAATGACTGAGCTTTCTTCCTCAATCTTTCTTTTTAGCAATGGTGCTATTGAAAAGATCCCGTTCAGCAGTTTTTAAAGCAGATCGACCATTTCTCTTTATCTTACGGCAGATCAGTACAGGTAAATACTAGAACTATAATTGTCTAAATTAGTATAATTGATAACATGCATTCTTGAAATTACTCTACACTGACACATTAAATTGTACATATACAGTCCAAACTTTTTTAGGTTAGTAAGATTCTTTAATGTTTTTGACAAAAGTCTCTTAGGCCCACTGGGGCTACATTTATTTAATCAGAGATACAGTAAAAACAGTAATATTGTGAAATATTATTACTATTTAAAAGGTTTATTTAAAACGATTTTCTATTTTGATATATTTTAAAATGTAATTTATTCCTGTGCTGGCAAAGCTGAATTCATTAGCAGCCATTACTCCGCTCTTCAGTGCACATGATCCTTCAGAAATCATTTTAATATGCTTATTAGCTGATTTTGTTTAAAACATGATACATTTTTCTTTTTCATGATTATGCATACAGATCTGCATGACTTCTGTTTTGTGACAGTCAGTTTAATTTGTAGGTTTTTATTCCACAGGTTCATTGCTGTTTATAGGTCGAGTTCTAAATCCAGCCGAGATGTCTTGAGATGATACATGCAATCACAACTGCTTCAAATGATAATCACACATAGGTGGATACATTTGCATGATTTTGCCAACTTAACTCACCCCTCCTCCCTCATGGGTGGGGGGTCAGAGGGATATCTGAGGACCGTTAGGAGGGTCCACTGATGCTTCAGGAAGAGGGACGAGACTTTTGTACATATCTGTAAATAAAAAATTTATTACATCAGGGTTTTTGCACTTCAAAGCGTCTGTTGTCTTTTTTCCCCTCTGCCCTTAATAAATGTCCTCAATTCTGATGGAAATGTTTGGTTACCATCAGTTACTGATTTCATGGAGCTCAGAATTAAGAATTCTTTCAGTATTAAGCCACACATTGACTGCTCATGAATAACTGTTGAATTTTGTGAGATCTAGAACCCAAACTCACCAAGTAGCTACAGCTGTTTCATACATCATTTTAAAGGGATAGTTCACCCAAAAATGAAAATTCTGTCATTAATTAGTTACTCACCCTCATGTCATTCCAATCCCGTAAGACCTTTGTTTACTTTGGAACACAACTGAAGATATTTTCGATGAAATCCGAGAGCTTTCTGACTGAGTAACATAACTGACACGTTCAAGGCCCAGAAAGGTAGCAAGGACATGGTTAAAATAGTCCATGTGACATCAGTGGTTTAACCGTAATATTATGAAGCTACGAGAATACTTTTTGTGCTCAAAGAAAGCAAAAATAACGACTTCAACAATTACTTCTCTTCCATGTCAGTCCTTGCCACGCATTCAGGAGAGTACCAGGACGCATGCGTGTGGGGCTGCCGACACAGGAGCCAGCGTTCTGACGTAAAACGTCCATCTCTCATCGTCTGTATATTCTGGTCTAAACAAGTCAGTCATCCTCTGTCAAAATCTTCAGATGTTTACGAAGACATTTTATGTAGTGTGCATCTTCTTCTGCTTGTAAACAAGGTACAACGCATCCGGATTCTATGTCAGAACGCCAGCTCCTGCGTCAGCAGCATCACACGTATACATTGTGGTACTCTCATGAACACGTGGAAAAGATTGACATGGAAGAGAAGAAATTGTTGATTTCATCAAAAATATCTTAATTTGTGTTCCGAAGTTGGAATGACATGAGGGTGAAAAAGTAATGACAGAATTTTCATTTTTGGGTGAACTATCTCTTTAAATTATGTGGTTAGCAATATAAAAGGAAAAAAATTTAATAAAATAAAAAAAATCACATGGCGAGCCACTTGAATCTTTATCCCCTCAAAGTGATGGGTTTAAGTGAATGGAAAACACAATGAACATGGGAAGATTTGCAATCCTTTTAATGACATTGTGTCACTGGGAAATTAATGACAGAAAAATGTCATTTATTTACATGACTATTAACAGTGTAAAATAGACTTTATTCAAATACATACAAAATAGGCTTTCCACCAAAACATTCTTTTAAATAATATTTTCAATGTCACCATGTACATATATACAGCATAATAAAAATACTTTTTAAAGAAGCCTTTCGTCTTTATCAATAACATTTATGGAAAAGATTTGGTCCCTGGTGCAGGGTTAAGAGGGTGAGATACACAAAGACAGATAAAAAAAACAAAAAAAACAAAAAAAAACAAGGGATACTGAATATTTGGCAGTAATGAAGGAATACATTAGCAGCAACATACCATGTCAATGAATAAGTGGCTCTTAACTCAATCCTGAATGATTAAATATTAGCATTACATCATTTTGGTGTTTCATTACATCTGGTTGTTTCTTCAGTAAATCAAATTCAGAACTCTGCAAAACTTTTTCATTTGCAATTTTTAGTCGAGAAAGAATAGTTCAGAGATGCGATACAGTCCTTTTTCACAAGTTTGTCATGGTTATGTGGTCTGAAAACCACATGACATGGTACAGAACGTCTTTTGCTAATTGCAAAACTGTTGCTTGAATCCATGGTTAATGAAGGGTGGTGGCAAATTTGTTTTTATAGATACAAACCCCCCCCCCCGCTTTTGTGAAAGGAGAAAGAGCTTTTTAAGAATATTGGGAAAACAAAATTCCAGAAAGATGTTCCTCTGCTGCCAAATCATTTGCAAAATCATTCCTGAGAGGAGTTATTTTACAAACAACAAATGACTTTGAGTGTGCAAGTCTACTTTAATTATAAAACCTCAAAGTCACTCAAACCTCCAACATTAAAGAATGGCTTGGTAACGCGCCTTTTAATTGGTGTAGAATATTGCTGATTTAATTGCTTTATTAGAGAGATCCAACCTAACAAAAGTGATTTCCAGTAAATCGTCTGTCTTGGCTGAGACTGAATGTTTCAGTGAGTTCGCTGAGGCACAATTCCCGACTGAAATTAAATGAAAACATTTATATAAGTGATCAATTCCACGTGTGAAAATGTCACAGGACTATGGGGAGAACGCAAAATGAGCAAGGAGGATGCCAATGCCTTTCAACCACTTCTCTTTGGCCCATTTAGATGGGAAAAAAAATACCTTAAAAAAAGATAAGAAAACGAAAGAAAAAGAGAGCAGTGCATGCTTTTGACCATTTGTTATAGAAGGAGCAACTTCTCCCATTTCACGCAGTCCTGAGGTTTAGCAACATCCCATCAAGTCCTGATTGATAAAATCAGCTTCAATACTGATAAAGACTGGAGACACACAAGTCCCAAATTACATTACATAAATAGTGCAGATAAACGCGCGAGTCCTTCAAGTAGGATAGATGGAGTGCTCAGAAACCGTCCAGATGATTCATGCTGTTGGCTCTTAAGTGAATCTCCTCCAAGAAGTTCTCCAGCTGCTCAATCAAGACCCTCTTCTTAAACCTGCGCGCGCACACACACAATTTAATTAGTAATTAGAGCTTTGCCTAAAAAAACATCATGGGGTTATTTATATGAATAATAAAAAAAAATGTATTTTTAAAGTGTAATTTTGGGTTTGAACATTAAGTCCAAAGTATACTTCGGTTTTGAATGCTTATACATGTACTGCTGAGCACGTACTGAAAGTATAGTCCATTTGATAGCACACAAATGCAGGCCATAGACACGTGCACTAAAAAATGGTTAAAAAAAAAAAAAAAGGAAGTATGCTTGGGGCTTTAACCTTGATACAAATACCAGTATGTAGAGTTAGCATCTACTTCAGATTCAAATGCAGATTTTTGAATCTGGAGTTTACCTGGCAGCCTCTTTAATTATGCTCTGCAGGAAGATCAGACGTGTTTCCAAACTGCCCTGGATTTGCTTAAGGAGGTAGAAGATTTTCTCATAACCTGCATTAAGACAAAAGAAAAAAGGACATCGGGGGAGAAGAATGATTTGACATCGGGGGAGAAGAATGATGGTGTTATGAGCAATGACAAAAAACAAGTGTAAAACCAAAAGGGAACAAATGAATTTCCTAAAGCCTGTAATTTTCATTACAATGTAAAAATAAAAATGACAAATGGAAACCAGCTGTAACAATGTTACAGATTTGCACATGTAGCAAAAGCAGCAAACATGGCCAGTTGATTTCGCAAGGCCCAAGACAAATCGTTTGTGGGAGGTCACCCCTCCTTCTCTTATTGGACACCATCCAGTAAAGAGCATCAGGAGAGGAAATGAGAGTCAAGTAGCAGATATCTGCACATGTATGTGTGTGCTGTTACTCACGTCTGCCAGGTTTCCTGATCTCCTTGGTGATGAGCACTCGGAGTTCAGCGTTCAGTTCCTGGCTCTCTTGGTTTCTGATCTTCTTCAGCTGGCAGGGGGAAGGGTAGCGGCGTGGGGCCTCCTCTTCACCCTCGCTGCCCAGAGACAACTCACTATCGCTGGACTGGCCGTTCTCCTGCACTCTGTCCTGCTGGTTCTCACCCTCATCCAGCTGAAGGTGGTTCCTCTGCTGGATCGGTTCAGACTCGGGCACAGGACTCGGCTCCATGTCCGAGTTGTGGTTTGACTCGACATGATTGGTGATGTGATTGCCCAATTCTGTGTGATCACTATCTGGAGCTGTTGAAACATGCATAAAACTGGAGCTTCAAAGTTTTGGTCATGACAAATGGGACAGAATCAGGGTGAGGACATGAGAGGATTTTAATTTCTGAATGAATTACTATTTTAATTTTACTAATAGAATTGCCAAAGGAGTTGATAAGAAACCAGAATTAAGTGGAATGATTCCCAGACCGGCTACTAAAGGCTTTTTCTGCATGTGTGTGCTGGTTACTTACTTCTGGGTGGTGTTTTGGGAGGTGTATATGCCCGTCCCAGCCGAAGCAGTGGAGACATACAGCGCCTGCGTTTGGGGGCCCCTCCTCCAGCAGGACTACTGGATTCTCCAGGACGTTTGCCTTTGCTTTGAGTGCCAGTAACAAATTCATCTGCCTCATCTACCATCATCGCCTGACACGGAGAGAAGAGAAAAACAGTTATTTGCCTGAAAGTCAAATCTATATACTGCTTCTTTTTGAAAGCCATAGATCTAAAGGTACCTTCTTGTCCAATTTGAAGGGGTTACCAAAGGTGTGCAAACGTTTAGGCTGATCGGGGTCTGCTTCTCTTAGAGGGGATGGGCAATGCTTCAAGTAGTCCTGATAGTTGCCCATCTGAGCTATAGGAACACTGTGCAGCTGATCTAGACAAATATTGATTATAAAAATATATAAATAACGTTCAAAATGTACCATGTAAATAGCATCATGAGCATAACCTTATCAGATAAAAAGGCTCACGATTCTTTTGGAAATCTTTTGGAAGCTAAATCTGATCACCCAGATATTCAAGAAACTGCTCTAAGAAAATCAATAACCATTCATGGCTGTCAGTGTTACCTTGATCTTGTCCTTTCAGAATGCAGATGCTGGCGTGCAGAAGGTTCCGCCTCATGCGGCTCAGCTGGTCTAGCAGATGAGATCTGGGGATATCATAGGGGTTCCGCAGTCCTTGTGGTTTTAATGCCTGTACGAAAAGAGAAGGAAATGGCAAAGATAAGTGATCTAATTTGGTGAGAACGGACCATGAATCATTTGCTCAGTACTGTTGGAATACTTGGTTAGGCATAAAACATGATTCTAAACTGCAAATGTGCCATATGTAAAACACTGCTGTCAGTGTTACCTTGATCTTGTCCTTTCAGAATGCAGATGCTGGCGTGCAGAAGGTTCCGCCTCATGCGGCTCAGCTGGTCTAGCAGATGAGATCTGGGGATA